TAAGCCCTGCATTTTTCTCAGTAATATCACCTGTTCTGAGGCAATTGTTTCTTCTGCAGAGGCAGTCAAGGGTTTTTCCCCTCATCCTTTAGGAGATTTCAGCAAGTTTGATTTGGAAGTTTTCACCAGTATGGTTGGTGACACTTTTCCTTAACAATCCGTTTAACATTCTGTTGCAGTCTGCACTGTGCAGTGCATGCACTTTGGGTATGCCATTTCCTACACGGTTTTCCCCTAACTTGTTTCTCAGGTAATACTCACATGATATTAAGGCTGATCATGCTGTGCCACCCAGTTCCAGCAGCTTGATTCAATGGCAGTAACAACACACAACAAACTGCTTTGTGCAGAGGGAGAGAAGCAATGCTTGGTGAAATAACTAAATCTGAAGTTTTCCTTAAGTGCCTCCAACTGCAAAGAATATGACTTTGTTATACTCTAATAATGACAAACAAAGAATGCAGGAAGAATCAGCTAGCTAAGAGCAGTCTGACTACACTGAACACATTCTGATGCTGAATTTAACTACGTTTAGAAGTTAATGAGCTCCTGTGGTTTCCACACATCCCCCATCAGTGATCTGGAAGCAATGCAATGCCACAAATTAACGATCACATTTAAGTTCTCTCCCTGAAAGGTTTGGGGTTGGTTGGTTGCAGAGGCAAGGAGTTGCCAAAGCAAACGATAAAGCAGTTTTCTTAAGTAAAATTACCTTTTCTCTACTCTGTTGTGGAAACAGTGTCTCTTGGATACAGCATCTTCCATTTTTAAAGCTTCATTATACAGAGTTGTTATTCACATAAATGTTTTGTTACTGTCTAGATGACTTCTGCAAGTGTATTTTTTTTCTTATTTAATTCCCTGGCTGATACTGGTTGGGATCCTGAGACAAACAACTGCTTATGACTTTGCAAAGAAATTGTCACGCAGAAGTTTTGCTCTAAGAATCAATGCAGCTTCATGTTTGGCTTCCTTACATTTATTAGGTTACAAAAAAAAAAAAAAATACAATTCAGTGTTGTTTGTTTTTAAGGAAATTACCGAAATGCACACGACGTTCTTTTCAGTATGTATGCAGAATTAAAGACCCAGAAGATTAAAATTCCTTCTGAGATGGCTACAAACCTTATGATTCTACACAGCTATATTTTAGTGAAGGTAAGGAATGGAGAAGCTGACTTTTTACACACGTTGCACAGTCTGTGGTTTACTGAAGTGTGCGGATGGGTGCTCCGTATTCATGAACTGCACTGCCAGGGAGGTTTTCGTATGGACTCCAAGTGCAAGCCAGTGGTGAGCTTCAGGAGAATCCATACCTGTCTGATGCTTCTGCCTCTTTGGTTAGGCTGTTCTCTTTAAAATACTGAATAATTTAAAACCTAAGTATGGCTTCCTATGCATATAGCACTCATACTTAAAAATATGTGCACTGCTAGTAGTTACTAGTCAGAAGCAGATCACTGCTTTTCTTCAATTGAAATTAGGCAGGGCAGCCCAGGCTATTTCTGGTGGCCAACACTAGTGGCCAGTCAGAAGGAAACCACTCAGCCTTTGGCCTTTTTGCACCCCCCCCTGCCTGCCAGCCATCAGGCAGCAGCCTGCTGGTTGTGGTCTGGAGAGTAGAGAGACCTCTGGAGAACAGCTCCCATTATCTCTGGTTCTTCCTTTAGAACTTGATACGCGCGTGCTCAGTTTCACTAACAGGCCGGGGGCATGCAGCTCCCCAGAGGACAAACACCAAGAGCAGGAACTGCTCTCTGAAGTCACCTCGGTGTGTTTGTTGTATTCCAGACTCACGTGAAACGCGGCGACCACATGAAGGGAGCACGTATGCTTATACGTGTAGCCAACAACATCAGCAAGTTCCCATCACGTGAGTACTGACAGCGTGAATGAGTGGGCTGTGCTCTGCAGGGCAGCTCAGGGGTCATTGTTAGAAGGTGCCTGGGGTGCTTCCTCAATAGAGAACCTCCAGGAGAGATTCCTCAACCAAGGTTAATGTGTCCTTGAGCACCACAACTGCAGTGCTAAGTAGCCTGAGCCATGCATAAAGTCTCAGGATGGATCCAATCAGCTGATGTTCTGTGAGGTTTTATCACAAAGTTGAAGTAGCCTTCTTTTGAAAAGGCTGCTTTTTTGGCACGTGGAACATTAGAGGGAAATCTTGATGCTGCTGTCATGGATGGCTGCGGTACTGATAGCGCACCTCTCCTCAGCTGTGCACACACAGGCTGTTACATGGGTCAGTCTGCCTTCTCTGCTAATTCTCAGCCAGTACTAATCCCTGTTAGTGGTTTATCTTTTTACAGCCAGGGTTCTCTCTCAGCACATGGCTACAATGCAGACTTTACACAGCATAGACCAGAGTTGGGGGAAACAGTTACAATTGAAACACTTCCAGTGCCAGGCTGTGCTGCAGAGGCACCAGGAAGGAAGAGGTGAACCCCTGGTTCTGGGGTGTGGTTGCAGGAATTGCACAATTTGTGCAGCTGAGTGATACAGAAAAATTCTGTCATCCTTCATCGATGTCCTATTAGCACAAAGGTTTTATATGGTAATATTAGTACATAATTATTGCTATTGGTTCGTTTTGTTGCAGACATTGTACCCATTTTGACTTCAACAGTAATCGAGTGTCACAGAGCAGGATTGAAGAACTCGGCCTTCACTTTTGCTGCTGTGCTGATGCGACCTGAGAATCGCAATAAAATAGATCTTAAATACAAAAAGAAAATCGAAGCAATGGTCAGGTGAGCAGTGTTCATCTGTACTTCCAAACATTTGTCAGGCACCAGAAGCGCTGTTCAAGTTCAGAGAGCTTTTTATTCATGTTTGTATGTTACTGCTTAGGCACCCGGACAAAACCGAGGCAGAGGAGCCAACAACAGCCTGTCCCTACTGTGCATTCCAGCTCGCAGAGTGTGAGCTCTTATGTCCCAGCTGTAAGAACAACTTGCCGTACTGCATTGCAACGGTGAGTGCCTCTTCTACACTGTGAGAATGAATAGAAAGCTGCTTTTTTTTTTCCATCTGCACTGTGCTACTAGATTCAGGCTAAGGCTTGGCAGTTCTGTCCAAGCTGTTGGAAAATCGGTGACACCCAGACCTCTGGGGCACTTCCCTTGTTAAGTACTGGGCCAGTGCTGGTTTCAGTATTAGCGATTGCTGATGCAAATGAGAAGCCCTACTGGTTCTGTTTCTGGGTTCTTTGCAGTCTGTTGAAAAGGGACAGTGTACATTTCCCAGTGAGAGCCATGCATCTCACCTCTGACATGTCAACACCCTTACACTGTGGTTAGCTCCTGTACATGAACATTTCATTTCTGCTAGGTCGAAGGGATTTGTCACACTAGAATTACAGAATAAGTACAGATTTACTAAAGCAGGAAGCAAATAAGAGAGTTAACATACTTGACTTTTAATATTAAAACTAAAGGATCAGTCTTACAAAAAATATTAGTAGTTTCTTAAACTGTTTTACTCCATTGGCTTAGTACATGTCTGTTCATTTCTGCTTCAGGTATGTAAGCTATCTCTTGGTTATGGTTCCTTTACATCACCGTAACATCATCAGGGCTGTCATTTTTCTCATACCTTTTGATAGTGTCAAAACAAACCATTGCTGCACGATGTATTAGAGCACAAATTGTTAAACAGTTCAAGGCACTGTTGGGCTTCACGCTGTTGACCATCATACATAAGAATTTTCTGCATCAGAGTCAACAGGAAACCAAAATTAAAAAAAAAAAGAAAAAAAAAGCTGTTTCAGCTCTGCTGCTCTGTTCACAGACAGCTGAGCCCCTGGGCTCAACTCACATGGCTTTGCTGGCATTTTTTGAACCTTATGCATCACCAGAACTCTCAGTAACTTTACAGTCACCTCTTTCTACTCCTGTATCTACATGGGCAATACAGAATTGCTAAACTAAAATAATTTTTAAAGTGATAATTGCATTCTTAAATTGATAAAAAAAATAAATACGTATTATAGTGAAAACCTTGTTTATCATTTAGAGCTCCTTTTCTAGTCACAGTATTTACACAGTAAGCAAAGCAACACTGTAACGATGGGGTTTTCTTTCATTCCTTAACATCTTTAGAACTCCAGTGCTGAGACTTTTTCCACAGTAACTGCCAGGTGTAGCAGGGGGAGCACCTGACCCTGAACGACTGCTTTCTCTTGCGTGCAGGGTCGACACATGGTACGGGATGACTGGACTGTCTGCCCACACTGTGACTTTCCTGCCCTCTATTCAGAATTCAAGACGTAAGTTGGGATTTTTTTGTTCTACTGAAAGATTTCAGTGTTCATTCCATCTAACATACTTTTAAGGCATCACTTTCAAGTGAACCAGCCCAACAGCAGCCTCTGGAATAGGAATTTGCACCTAGCACTGGGTGCAGACTAACAAAGCACTCATCATTTAAATCCTTGTGGTCTAGCACCAGCTGCTATGGTCACGGTCTGCTGCCTTTTCCTCATGCCCACTCAGCCAGCAGCAGCATTTCCTGGTGGCGCTAGCTCTCAAATGTTAAAAAAAAAAACCAAAAACCACACAACTCACCTTTTCCCCAACTAGCCAGAACAGCTGCCACTCCAGCCTGTATCTGTTACACTGCATGTTACAGGACTCTCAGGCACAAATGCTTGATTGTGTTACAACCATCCTGTGACCTGCTGCCCCTCTTCCTTTAAAACAGCATGTTACAGACTGAAAACGTGTGTCCCATGTGTTCTGAAACAATCAGCGCCGTTCATCTTAAGAAAATAAATGACTGCACGCAGTACCTCAAACAGGATGACATGGACAGCTAAGTTCAGGTATGTATGAGAGCCTCTTTTTGTGGGGCTTTGGGGATTTTAGTTGCTGAGGTTGCAGAGTTTTGGGTTTTTTTAATTAGATAGCAGGGCTCATTTGACAGGGCAATAGCCACGTTTCCCAGCAAGGACAGTTCAGTGTTCAAGACTTTAACTTACAAGGCTGCATCTCAATCCCTCAGGTTGTTGAGGTGCAGATTTAACATTTGCCCTTAAGTACACAGAGAGTATTGCTTGCTGCTTTTGTTTTTTTTTTGTTTTGTTTTTTTTGTTTGCTTGTTTTGCTTCCTTTGCCCTTGTTCCCATATTCAACATCAATTCTGAGCTCTTATCGTTTTAGTTTCTGTTAAACAGTTCTTAAGTTTTTAGGTATTTTGTTCTGGCTTTGATTGCAGCTGTAAAATTTAAACACTACAAATTCTGGAACTAAATCCCTCTCGGCTTTGCTTTTCTATGGCTGTGGGATCAGTTAATTAAAAAAAAAAAAAAGCCTGATAGATGCAGGAAAGTCAGAACCTCTGCCAGAACATGCTGCGCCTTCAGCAAAAATAGAAACCTCCTGTGAAACACATTTTATTGTAATTCTATACACTGCTTAATTGCTATAATGTACAAATGTGCAGATTAGGATTTACTATTTACAAGATTTCAGTACATAATAACAGAGGATTTATTATAAAAACAGCCCTGTGAAGACTTGCATAAACACCAGGTAACAGCACTCCACATTTGCATCATGTTCGTGCTCCCTGGTGCCTGTTCTACAAGAGTAGTTATGGCTTGTAACATACAGCACTGCCCCGTGTGAGAACAGGAGCTACAGCACCTCTATAAGAGGAGCACTGTCAATGCACGGGTTCTGTATCACCAGATCAGTTAAATGTTCCTGACAGAAGTTAGATAAACAAAGTCACCTCCAGAGCAAGATTATTCTCTTTAATGTCTTGTTTTCTCTTTTCTTTTACCTTCTTTTTTTGTTGTTTCTTCATTTTTCTCTCTTTTTGGCAGCTTGGAAGGCTTCACCTTTTTTTGCTACAAAGAGAATACAGGGAAAGTTTAAAATTCCTGGAGTAACCTGGCAAAAGGTGTAAATCAAATGCAGTGAATTAAAAAGGAAAAAAAGAAAAGGGAGCAGGGGAAGAACCCCTCTCCCCTTCCCTTTCAAGCATCACATTTTGAAGTGCAATGGAATACAGACACTGCAGCATTGTGACAGTTCCCTGGCTTAGCAATAGATGCAGGGAAGTTTGCTGCTGCTGTCTGTAAGGACATGCCCAACACTTGGGTTGTATTCATTGATGCGGTACAAAGATGTCTCACTGTGCTCCAACATTCTAGCAGAAAAAAAAAACAATGAAAATAAACTTTTTTCTTTTTTTTTTTAAATACTACTAAGAGTAAAGAACTTAAGAGATGATGCATTTAAAATCTACTCTGGTTTTTGTTTGGTTTTTGATTCTGATGTGACAGGTCCCAGAAAGTTAACATAAAAAGAAAAAAGTTTAGTTTGGTAGTATAGTGCTGAGGAAAAGAAATCACCTTGATCATTGCATCACTTTCAACAGTATCTTGCTCCTCCTCCTCAGATTGGATCTCTTCCACATTCAGTTCTTCGTTCAGTTCAGAGGTCCCCATGGATCCTGACTGCCGTCTAGACATCTTCACAGAATGAAGGGAATATGGAGTCAGATGCACCTCTTTGTTGTAGGCACGTGTAAAAGCTGCCTTGACCTGTTAGGAGGGAAGGAAACACTGAGCATCAGCTTAACAGTTTATTTGTATATTTACAATCTCATTTTCAGTTGACATAAGTACTGTACCTGCAAATCCACAAATGGAACAGTGAGTTGAATGGCTGATTGCACCTCTAACTCATTTCTTTACTGGACTTCTTATAGAAAGTCTTACCAGAGAAAACTATCCCTCACTTCTGAAATCATGCCTTACTCCAATCATCGCTTTTTGGCACTACGTCATTTGTGAACAACTGTCATCAAGGATGGAGTGCAAGGAAGGGTGACATTTCATCCAAAATCTGACAGACACACTGAGAACTCCCTGAGAATGCATTAGTTTCACAAGAAAAGAGCAAATATCCCCCTGGTTTTATGGTTTTGTTCCCTTTTTTTTCTTAAATGTCTTAATAAAAATATTTTTAAAGTAAAATAAGTATTGTTACTTACGTATGTTACCTACATTATGTGTTTTACATGTGGCCAAGACAATGCCTCTTCACTGGATGGAACCCAAGGCACAGGGTTGGACACCCATGTTCAACCTACCCCTAAAACAACTGAGGCTGCATCCCTTAACAGGATGCCTCGACAGCTGAACTGCTATGGATTTCCATGTTCAATTAAAGTTCACAAGAGTATGCATTTGCATCTTCACCAGCCTTCAGCAGCATATCCATACCATAACTATCACTGTAAGACTTCCTTACAAAAGATGCGAGAAGAAAACTTTACCAGTAAATCTTACCTTGGGATCCAACTTTGAAAAAGGGCTGGGTTTACCTCCCCACATGCTTATTTCCATTATGTTTTCAATGTCTTCTTTCATCAGGCAGTAGGAGTCCATGAATGCTATAGCATCCTGTACCCCATCTGCTCCAAAGGCGGTCAGTGGCTGGATGAGTGCATCGCGCAGATGAGACAAATATTCCATATTTACTGTCCTCTTGCATGCCTGGGTTCTTTGTCAAATTGAAAGAGAGAAATAAATCTGTCGAGCTCAACACAGCTCTTTTCTAAACACAACCTCTAGTTAGTCTCTCAGCAAGTGGATGCTCAGCTGCCTTAAGAGCTCACCACAAGCTGAGTTGTACCACATATCTTTTGTCACATTTGGATTAGGGAAAACCTGATGCAAGGTATTCAGCACTCAAAAACCCAGATGTTTGGGGAAACACAGCCCTAACTTAAGAAAGGAAGAAGTGTCTTCATTCTGACTGTTGTCCAGAATAGCAATATAAAAACATCACCAACTACCTGTGAGGATACTTCTAGAATACACATTTAAGATTGTACCAAGGACAGCACGGAATTACTGGCAAGCAGTGAGCTGCAGAACAAGATGTCTCTGTTGATACACACCAAGCATCAGTACTACCTCACCTCAGGCTCATGTGCATTGCCAGTTCTTGGATGATACGTTCGTGTTTGCCCGTAGATGAAAATTTCCCCAGCCAGCTGGGAAAGACAGGGAACTGGGACATGTAACCTCTCATCAGCTCCCCAGGAAGAACACTCGAATAAATAGCCTGAAAGGAATGACACACACACAAAACTCAGAACACAATGGATTCCATCTCACTGACACCCACCTGTACTACCACACTCGTTTCACTGAAAGCAGCTGAGTGAATAGAGAGAGCTCCACACTACACACAGTTCACCTTAAGGCAATCCCAGCTGCTTGTTTCTGTTTATCCCTTTTAGATTTCATCTCTTGTACCACCCTATTTGTTACCATGATGTAAAATATGAGAAGTGATGACTCTTTAAAAGTGTGTTTTCTTTCTAAATAGTTTCTCTGGCTTAGAGTCACACAGACAGCTCATTGCACACCAACAAGCACTATCATCTCCAGGAGATGGACACGGTACAGCAAACACTTCACAAGAACACAGATTTAATTATGGAGCTATATAACCTCAGAGGTCCCTTCCAACTTGTGGTACGATACATTCTCTGATGCCAGTCATGATCCTTTACACACAAAAAAACCCAACCCAGCAGCCTCGTGGCATACATGAGTACTGACATCAGTTCAGATGGTTCTACAGTTTATAAAGAAGGTTTAAGTTTTCTCAGTGTTTCAGAAGACTGCTTCATGATACAGCATGAGGTCATCCATGTCATTTATAGGAAACTGCTCTACTCCTAGCAGCACAGAAGCACACTCCATAAAGCACAGACTATAATAGGTCATCAAATTACACTGACATTTTGAGGTTTGAGTCTTACACACTGCACCCCATAGGTAAAGCACACAAAATGAGTGTGGAGTGCTCACCTGTGTCGGTAGAAGGTTCCAGTTCTGCTTGGTACGAATCTGTTTGTCCACCAGATCACCATCACATATACTATCAGCAGCTCTACTCAAGAGCATCAAGTGTTTCTTCAGATCTCCTCTGGAGGAAAAGAAAAATTGATTTTAATACAAAGCAAAATAAATACAGGAAGGTTTTAATTTAAATTTTACTCTTTGTGAAATTCTACGTGAATTTAGGGTATGGAATAACTCACCCAGCAGCAGCAGGTTTCACATGCACATAGTTCTCTTGGACAAAGAGAGGTGCTAGGGAATAGTCATGGAAGAAGAGATCTGATTTGTCTATAAGAGACATACGAGAAGCCTCCTCTCCAGCAGCAAAAACCTTCCGGACAACATCGAAAGGGCCCTAAATGGTAAAGGTATTTCAAGAAGTGGGTTGCAAGGCAAACGATTAACACTCAGCACTCAGGTGTCAAGACAATTACGACAGTGATTGTACACAGCAGTATCTGGACTCATCAGCACAAGCTCAGTGTCTGGTAATGTCCCTTTTGAATGTGTCTTTTCAATAGTGCCTTGCCAGTTTTGAGAACTGAGTTCTAATATTAAAGAATTTCCTCCTAAAGACAGCAATCAAAATGAGAAGAGATAAGTATGTATCTTCCTCAGAAGACAGCACATCAAAACATGGAAGTCAGTTCTGGATTAACTGCTGGCCCATTACTTGTGGCAAGACTGACACGTACTGAAAACATTTGACAGTGCCTTGCACATCTAGGCTGTCAGTGCTTCACTACAGAAGATGCTTACAAACCCAGTAATGGTATCGAAATATCACACTACCAGTCAGCCCCACATTTCACACGTACCAGTCTGATATCCTTTTTGGCTCTGCCGGCGCCTGTTTTGGCCTCATCGTAAGTCAGTGATTTGTCTTTTGCACACCACATATTGAGATTATGCAAAACCTAGAAAATGCAAGTGACAACGTGGTAGCATAAAAACACTTCAGAAGAAAAGAAAAAAGCCTAATCTCTATACCTAAATTCATGCTAATGCTGAAACGGCACTGACCTGTCTGATGTCTTGATTTGCTGCCAGGATTATCTCGTTCATAGCAGGGGGTGGAATTTTCAAACCTTCTTTAAATGCAATAGACATCATGGCACCCTGTAACACAAACAGTTCTGAGAAACTGACAGAGATTTCCTATTAATTCCTTCCCTTATTGAGCACGTCATCAATGTGCTGGGTTGTTTTGTTGTTGTTGGTTTTTTTTAAGTATAATTGAAACTGTTTAATTTCTGAACATACAAGTCAAGTCAGTCCTTGACACTGGTAAGAAAAAAAAAAAAATCATTTTCAAAAAATCCTTGGATGTATTTAAGATGGACATCTATATCTGAATGGCTTTGAGATACTTGAGTCTTCCCTCTCATAAAGTCAGACAACCCCATTTGGGAAAGCAGAGTAACTCAGTGAAATGACCTGCTGAGTTTCAAGCAGTGTTTTCCAATTCTCTATGAACTGTGCCACACAGAGATAAGATTGCTGCTGGTAATTCAGTGCAAGCCATGCAGCCACCTTTACCTTAATCTGTTCCAGACGAGGTCTCTGAAAACGAAGATCAAAACAATAGTGGACCAGGGAACGAATTTTCGGATGGTTTCGATCGTTACACATACAGATGATGGGGATCTTTGTGTGTCTAATCAAACCAATCAGTTCCTGCAATTTAAACACATTGTAACAACTGCATCAAGTACCTCAGAAGATGAGAATGCTTAAATTGTCATATCAAGCAGCATTAGTCCTTGCCTTAAATCAAATCTTTTTAAGATAGAATTCAATAAACCAGCTCCTTGCTTTAATTGCATTTCCATAGTGAAAATGTTGCCCCTTTTTCCTACTTTTTCTGCATGTTATTCTCTTGAGCTCCAAGAGTACTGACATCTAGCCAAACACCAGTTTGACCCAGACTGTGCCCAGAGGGAGCACCCATCTTCAACCATTCCCTGCCACAAGCAACGAGGAAGTAGAAGTAAAAAGATCGAGTGTTCCTTGCTCAAATAACTCAGCCCTGCACATTGAGCTTAAGCTACCATAGCAATCTTTGGCTGTTCTAATGGAGGTGAAATTCAGTTCAATTTCAGATCATGCAAGGTAAATACGTGTATCTGAGCTAAAGGTCTCTATGCTCTTTGTCAAAGTACTGCACTGGCCATTGTCTACTGAAGGAGGTAACTGTCCTAAGCTGGATTACAAACCTTCCACTGCTGGACATCAGCTGCAGAGAGCCTGCTATAAATTCACCCTCCAAGAATCAACATCTATGGTGCACACAGCTGAGCTAAAAGGTTTGTGTGTTTATTTGTTCTGCAGAGATTGGTGGTTTTGTTTTGTTTGTTTTTTTAAACTAAATGTCTTTTTTCCAATTCTATCACTGCATAATTCTCACACAAAGATACATCATTAAAACAGGTCAGTGAACCATAATCTGGAGGGACTGTGACCCACGGCTGAAGACAAGAGAGGCATGAAATATGGCAGGCACTCTGCAATGGCATCAGCTAATAACTGTAGTAGTTTCACCTGAATCCCTCCTCTGTCTTCATTGCCTGCCATACCATCCACTTCATCCATGATCAATACGTGTTTCCCACTAACTGATGAGGATGTGCCTGAAAATGAACATGGACAAGAAAATGAGATTGCAATACAATATTTTATTCCTAAGGGAATAAAACAGGATCTTGCTCAGAGTTTTACCCAGTGTTTCACACATTATGAAAGCCCAACCTAGACAGCTGAAGCAGCGATGAACCTTTTGTCCGAGCTCTGCCAATGTGCTGATATGGAGTTTATGTTCACAGAACAGAGCTGTCTGTAACTCACGTCACCGTCCCAAAATTAACTGCTGGGCAACAGAAGAACAACCACAGAGTCCTTCAGCAGCCTGTGCTGATTAACAGCTTATCTTCTTAATAACAGGATTTAATCCTATGTTGAGGATGAATTAGCACAGCTTACTAAATCAAGCTACTCTTATTTGAGCCTGATCACTTCCACATGACGAGCACATCCAATTCCTAACATGACTGTGCAGTAAGGAAGCTCTGTCCCTCCTGTAACTGCTTACAGCCAAGCCCACCTTCAAACAAGACATACCAGAACAGAAATCTTTGATGGTGGTGTTGTTCAGCGATTCAGCAACTACTTCCTTTAGACTGTTCTTACTTCGAGTGTCACTGGCATTCAGCTCCACGTAGCTGTACCCCAGTTCCTAGTCCAAACATAAAACCACACAGAAAAGTGAGACCACACAGACTGGTGAAGAACAACAGCATACTCAATTTGAAACAGCATTTTCAGAATTCAAGAAGAAAGCTTTTGCAACATTACTTCCAAATCTAATCTGTGGCTTTGATTCCTTTCTCCCTTTATGTTCTCACACTCCAGAAATACTTATAATCAAGCATGGAATAACATGCCAAAAAGAGAACTGTTCCACCTCTCACCCCACCTCCATCCCCTCAAAAAAAAAAAAAAAAAAAAAAAAGCAAAGATTTTGCTATGAAAGATAAAACTGAACTGTCCCAAGGGACAGAAACAGAACTATGAGCCAAGGCTGGCTAAACTCTGTAGTACTTCCAGATGCGTATCCAAATCTCATGCACAGAGTCAGGAAAAGCAACATGCCACATCCCACAGAAAGCTGATGGAAAGGAGAAGCTTTTAACTATTCAGCAGCTAGGAAATACATGACTCCCTCCGCAGCTGCATCGCTTCACAGCAGGGCTTGTCTGCCTGCAGTCCCTGAAGGAACATAAACCAGCTGCTCCTTTATCAGCAAACTCTCCCAGCACATGCATAGAGCTGCAGCAGGGTACTGCACACAGCTTTATTCCTGTAGCTTGGGTAACCCAGTTTTGTTAGCCTTGTCTGAGAAGCAGAGCTAAGCACTCTGCAGAGAGACCTACAGCAGCCGTGTGTGAGCTAGGTGGAAAAGCTAGAAACAGAAATCACAGAATCACAGAATCACCCAGGTTGGAAGGGACCTCAAGGATCATGTAGTTCCAACCCCTCTGCCTAGCAGGGCCACCAAACATCCACATTTAGACCAGGTTGCCCAGGACCCCGTCCAACCTGGCCTTGAACACGTCCAAGGACGGGGCATCCACAACCTCCCTGGGCAAAGGGAAAGAAAGAAAGGCTGCACCAGTGCAGAATCAACACAAGTCAGCACACTCAGCTCCAGGTGCAGCAACAGCCAGGGAAAACAGCTCTGGGTTATCAACCCTTGGATTGGCACAAAGCTCTGAGGCCTCTGGAAATGGGGAGAGGGATGAAAGAATGAAAAGGCTGAAGTTATTTTTAACATTTGAATTGTAGAGAGAAGATGAGCCTTATTTCCCAGTACAAAAGACCAGACAGCTGATAATTCTTCCTGACCCTTGCAAGCTAGCAGTATCTTCCTAAGAATTCTTGAGAGAAAGAGATCTATAGTTAAGAGCAAAATCATCTGTAACTCACCACAGTATCACTACTAATAACTCAGCTTTAAAGGCATTCCTACCATACGGAGTCCCCAGCTGACTGCCATGAAATAGTGGAGTACAGTGTTGCACTGAGTTTGCAAAGACTAATTTCTAAATTCAGATTTTGAAATGGACACCCAGCTCTGTCAGTTTCTCTCATCCTCAAGAGACAGTCAAGTCAGGGAAAGGTATCTCTATTAGTTTAAAAAATAAAAAAAAACCAAAAGTTTGCCAAAGGCAGTTTCAAAAAGCTTGCCAGAATTGCAGTGCCTCACCACCCTCTGAGAAAAAAGTCCTCCCTAATATCCAATTCAAATCTCTCATTTAGAGCTATTACCTCTAGTGCTATCACCACACTCCCTGAAAGAGACCCTTCTCCAGCATCCCTGGAGATCCCCTCCGTTAAGCACTGCAAGGCCACACTGAGGACTCCATAGAGCCTTCCTCCAGGCTAAACATGTCCACATCCCTCAGCCTCTCTTTGTGGAAGAGGTGCTCCAGTATCTGACCATCTTTGTCGCTCTCCTCTGGGCCACCTCTAAGTCTGTTCTGACTAGGCAGAGCTAGGCTGGGAGCAGAACCTGATAGTTCAGGCAGTAATCACCTGCACACATCCATATAAAGGATCAGCATAAAATAAAGTCTTGGGAACCAATTTTCAAATTGGAAAACTAATGATTAACGAAGACTCACCTTACAAACTAAAGAAGCTGTGGTAGTTTTACCAACTCCAGGTGGACCAGAGAGCAATGCTGCTTTAAAACTAGAACCATCATCTTTGCCTCCAGATTTGTTGGTCTTTGCTATAAAAGAAGATTCCAGGTTTTACATACATACATAAACTGCACATTTTATGTAAAACTTTGAAGATATCAACTATTACAGGAGTTTCACATTTAAGGCTTGATACGAGTATCAAAAAATAAAATATACACACATCTTAAGCATATGGGCAAAAGCAGTTTAAACTGTACCAGGTAAGATTCTAAACTGAAATATTAATGCAATAAAACTATTTCAGCCATTTTCTGACAGCAATATCATAGGGAACAACACCACAGAAGAAACCAACTACCTGTGACAGCTGCAGCGAAGCTTAACTACTACTTTCTCACAAAAGAATGCCTGTAGGGTTGCTCACTGCACATGACAGTGGCTACTTGTCAGAGAACCTTAACCACTCATCTCGTTCCTCACACATGAAGCCAGCCCTCTAGACATATTGCTAGCCCACATTTTCCCCATGTGTACAGCCAGGTTAGCACTGATGACTATTTCTCTTGGTGAAAAAGAATTGAAATAGCCTGGATGCTATTTTTATAGATATTACTGCTAGATTTTTTTCATCTGCTTTGGAAAACAACAGTCACATTTACCACACAGTACCTTCAGACAGAAGTAGGGGGTAAGTGAGCAACTGCTTCAACAAAACACTCAGGCTCAACTGTTTCTAAAAACCTGCATCTGAATTTAGAGTCATTCTGTTCATACTGTGTGGAGTTGCTCTCCCGTCACAGAGGGCCCCCACCAGCATATGGCACCAAGCAGTGCAACTGGCATGGAAGAACAGAGAGAAGTTGACCATGCTCACCACCTTGTCCATCTTCTGAGGTATTCCTGTGCCAGCTTCGGAGCCATCGGAGGAGTTTATTGGCACAGCTTTGCTCCCCCTGCTGTCCAATTATCGCCTTGAGAGATGCAGGCTTGTATTTATCTACCCATAGTAATGCCTCTGTTTTATTTTCACTGCTCTCAGAAACCAGAGTCCCCTTATGTTTGGGGGCTTCTTTCTTCACCACAGTTTGATGTTCAAAGTCCTTAAGCTTTCGAATGGCAGTAGCTTCTTTCGCGACAGATCTGAAGGTACCTCCCTTCTCAGGTGTACGATTACTTTTCTTCCTGTCAGCTTCCCTTTTGAGAGGACTAAAATTCCTTTTGCCAGACTCTGTTTTCTGTGGTGTCTTTTTCTGTCTTGATTCTGCCTTCTTTGCCTTAGGAAAATTAAACAAAAATTAAAAATATATATATTAATTAACACGCTGTGCTTGAACATATGCAGAGGCACGCATAAGAAAGTCACAGAGCTTGTGTACTGATAAACACCCTGAAGTAAACCAAGGAACATTCTCTGAAAATTAAGCCACTGTTAAACAATGCCACCAGGTTGTGTAGCAGAACCCACTCCACAAAGTGTCCAGGTCAGCCCAGGAGTAGTCCAACTTGCAGCACTCTCCTTCCTCTCTGAGTGTGATGTATTATGAAAAGAAATCATTTGAAACCGATGACTGTCAGGTTGCAGAGAACAGGCCTTCCATCAGACACATACAGAGGAGAAGTGCAGATCTTAAACAACAATTCCAAGTCTCAACTCTAAAAAAAATTTAACACTAGGAACACTTCCAGGAAACACGTTTTCAAAAAAAGTGAAGCACTCCTCTCAAGTACACACTTACAAGAGAACTGCAGCAGCAGTCATTTAGGAAAGCAGAGAAGGTATTTAACCCAAAACAAACAAAAAGGGAGCGAAAGCAATCGGCACAACCTCAGAGCTGCTTCAACATCAACAGTATATTTACATGTGGCAATTTATGTCTAGCCACATCAAGCCTGTTATCTAAACACGTGGTCTAATATAGCTCTAATATGCACCAGTACAGTCTCTGGGTACCATATAAAAATCAAAGAACAAAGAATGCTAAAAACTAAAGCCATCTAAGAGGATACAACAATCCCCCAGACAGCTACCTAGAATACCTAAATGTGAAAAACAATGCCAGAATATAAAAAGGTTATAGTAAACCTTATCAGTCCTAGGTAGAATTTTTAAAACACAAATACAGTTTTTCAGTTTCAATTCTTTTAACCTATGAGGTCAAGCTGACAATCACAGATAAGGCTACTGTTCAGAGAACAGAAGATCAAAGCACCCTGCAATTAAAAAAAAACAAAAACAAAAAAAAGAATAACCAAACCAACCTCTGTTTCAGCTGCCAGCTCATACTTGGACTTCTTGCCTGGCATGGTTCGAACAAGATCAAATAGGCCATCCTCATCAATTATTTTTGTCCCTAAAGCTGACGCCTGGGGGCAAAAATAAGAATTAAGAGTATGGTAAATGAGAGCTACATAATAATTCACTTCAAGATCCTTTCAGCAAAGGCTACGTTTACAAACAAAACAAAAAGCAACAGAAGGCTGTTGTTCTTAATGTATGTGTGCATAAACAAAAATAAATCGAAATCTAAAAACTGGAACTAACTATGCTAAGTAACTTTTCCTTTTTAACACGTTTGTAATGCTCACTCTTTGCAGAGGATAAATGAAAAAGTCAAGTCAAGTAAATTATTTCTTTTTGCTTCCACTTTCTCAGGCACAATGCTCACCTTCTCACACTTAGACTGCCCGCAGTCTCGTCCCATAACCAGATAGTTTGTCTTCTTGCTGACATTGCCAGTCACTTTTCCTCCATAACGTTCAATCAGAGACTTGGCCTCATCTCTTTCAATGGACTCCAGAACTCCTGTAATTACGAATGTCAGGCCTTCCAAGCAGTTTTCAGCTCCCTGACAACCATAACATGGAAAATACCATTCAGTGATGCAGTTCTATGAATACTCCTTCAACCATGAGTTGTTGTGGTTTTTGTTTTTGTTTTTCAAATCTTTACCATGTCAAGAGCTCTATGAAATTTTAAAAATTAACCCAATCTACCTAGCTATAGATAACAGCTGTAGAAGTTCAGAAACTATTAGAAGGAACTGCTCTCAACAATACTTCACACGTTGCTAACCTGACCCTATCACATTCCTAACACTTTCTGCTTCAAGCTCAGCAATGTCAGTCAAAGGAGTGACAGCAACCTTCAAAAACTAAGACCAGTAACTATTTTACATCAGCATGGCTTCATAAGCCAGATAAGGAATTTCATTTTTCAGTATATTTTCTTGCATTCAATCACTGCTTGGCATTCCAATTCAACCCCCCTTCCCCCCCATTAAAAAAACCTCAAATAGTGCAGTTGATGCTTGTTAGATCACTTGTAACCAGAAGCCTATGATGCACACCACTTCTAGGTAGAGAAGTTCTACTGTAGCCAAGCTTACTTGAGGTATCTCTTTGGAACCCAGAGCTTTCGGACCCTCGCGATTGAGGAAGCTTCTGTAGGCTTGATAGTTGCTTCGTCTCTTTTCAGAGTCCTCAGGACTTATAGACTTGGGCAAAAGAAAAATAAATACATGGTACATATAAAAACACATTTATTAGATACATAAAATGCAATGAAAAACGCAAGGATCACAGTATAAATAATTCCTATGGAACAAAGATAAAGGAGAATTAAGTGTCTGTTTTTATCTATTAAAAAGTAACACCAAAGCCCGTGGGATTTTTTTGTTGCTGTTTGGAAAAGGAGATTGTGAGGCTTTTTTCTCTAGGGTGGGGAAAGTGAAGGGGGTGCTTATGGTGATTTTTTTTCAGTCATACTTTGTTTTATTTAAAGAACTGTATCCAATATTTATTCTCAGTTTTCATATCTTTATCTGTACTCAGCATATATGTGTTCACTTTCCTAATGAAGTCATTACTTTAAATTCACATCCAATTTGATTCCAGAATGATGATCAGTTACTGGCATGCTATAGTATGCTATATAGTAAGAAGCAGAAATGCTAGAAGTAGATTATAAGTCATGTAAGCTTTTTATTTTTTAAATTTAATTCGGGTAGTAAAAAGGAAAACCATGAAATTACCAAGGTTGGAGGAGATCTCGAAATCAAGTCATCAGCCCATCAGCAGTGTGCCCACTAACCATGCCCCTCAGTGCCACATCCATGTGGCTCCTCAATGCCTCCAGGAATGGCGACTCCACCATTTCCCTGAGCAATCTGTGCCAATGCATCACCACTCTTATAGAGAAGAAACTTTTCCTAGTATCCACCCTGAACCTCCTCCATTGCAACTTGTGGCCATTACTTCTCACCCTATCAAAATGCCACAGGCTTTCTTCTCCCCCTTGCAACTATTATTTACATGCAAAAAAAAAAAAAAAAAAAAAAAGATATTTTTCTTTTATGATTAAAAGGTACATTTTGCAGTAGCCAACAACTGTTGGAACATGTTCAATCACTTGTTACTGAATCAGACAGTTAAGAGAACACTGAACTCCATTCCTATGTAACATTTTAACAGTAAGAAATATATTTCAGAGACAGGAAATTTCAGAGGGAGGGGAGAAGAAAATAAGTGATGTGTCTTTAGAAGTATAGCGTTCACAAAATCACCTCTGTTTCATTTGCTGCCAAAAATTCTGCATTACACAGGCTTTCTGGAAGTTAAATGAGGAAAAAAAGTACTTCACTGATGTTTCAGTGTTTGTGCACATCTTAGAGAGCATTAAAAAATGCTCAATTCCTTCATGTAATTCATCTGTATATTCCAGCTAATTTATCTCATACATGTCTAAAATTGCTAGGAACTTGAGTTCTACTAAGATTCTAAATTGTTAAAAAATCACCCAAAATACACACAAAAAAGTACCTGGATACAACAGTGACATACAATAGGAAAATTGCTTCCCTGTAAGCTCCACCAAGCCAACTAGGTTCACATGAACAGCTCCTACCTCAGTCTTCTTGGGAGAAATTTTCTCCTTCTTGGGTGTTCTTTTCTCCTCTTTCCCCATAGCATTTTTTTCTTTTGATAGTAAATTTTGAGTGCCACTTTCCTTTTTAGTAGTCTCCTCCTTCTGTTTTAGAGCCACAAGCTTCGAGGTAGGTTTCAAAGGCAAGGTTTTCTCCATCACTGCCCTTGCTATTTCACCATCAGATGACTGTGGATGTAAGTTAGGCTCTCTTGAATTTTCAGATTTAGTTTGTTCTTTTACTTCAGCTGCCGAGTTTGTTGCTTTCGCTTGAAAGAGGCAAAGGAGTGAGAGTACATAGGTAAGAACATACTGAAATTTGAAAACATTTCACCAATCCACCCTATTAGAAACCCACCTCTATGGGATTGTTTGTATCTTCCTGTCACATGAGGACTGCTCTTGATGCTCAACACCCTTTGCTCCTCCGAATCTCTCCGGGCCTAAGCAAACAAATGATGCAAATCAGAAACGTGTGCCCCAAAACGCCATTAAGCGTTTGTTTCTGTTTGTTTGTTTTATAACTGTTCAGTACATCAGACTGAATGACGTGCACAAAAAAGCTGCTCCCTACCACAAGTGAGAATACTATCAACAGCAAGCAGATGAGCAAATCCTACATTCAGCCATACATGTAATTGTTTTCTTTAATTCAAAGAGCAGACGAACTTCCAGTTTGTATGTTTCAACTCTCATAGCAGTAGCACTAGCAGAAGTGTTTGCAATATCCAGAAGAGCTATCCTAACTTCCAAAACCCTAGATATGTAACACAGGAACTGTTTTACTGTACCATAAGTGGTCCACACCACAAGCTATGGCAACTAGGAGAACTCCCATCACTGGGGTTAGAGATAAAACTGAAGATCCCTGCTTGCCCCTTCTCTCTGAAGATGGAGCATATTCTCTTCCTTCCTTTCTCTCCCATGCCTTGACTCACTTTTCTTGATCTGGTCCTCAGGAAACAGAGGAGCTAAAGCTGACCTAAGGTATCAGCCCTCAGCATGTCACTTCACTTCAGGTATTAGAGAGACGAGCAGACCATTTCTGTGAAATGAGCAGGGATGGATGTAAAACTTTAACACAAAGGATATGATCCTTTCCATCACGATCACTGTTCAAATGAAGAGCATCACTCATAAGTGTGTACGTTCCCTTGGAACTGAGACTGGTTCAAAAGCAAATCTCAGCACGTTGTAGATGATTGCAAACGAAACAAACTATCTCACAGGAAAAAAAAAATCCACTGTGAGTTCCTAAATTCATAAAAATCAAATTTGGATCAAGATCGTGAACTGTGAATGATTGGAGAATGGAAAAATTATAAGGAGAATCATTCAACTATTTAAACCATTCTCATACTTTAGGTAGATGCCTTCATCCATTGAGATCATACATGGAAACAATAGTTAAGCCACCGGTCTCAGCTGTGGTACGGCAGTAACAAAGGCTTTTTGCCAGACAAGATAGATTCTGACCCACTCACTATAAGATGAAACCTACAGACAGGTACACATGTCATGACACAGATGATCTCCACTAGCAGAAGGAACAGAGGAGACAAAGCAGCTTAGATGCATCCACAGACAGCTGAGACAGACTTCATTAGAACTATAACTTAGATTTATATTTCAAGACAAACAGCACAAAGATATATTAGTGTTTGCTGTTAGAAATGACATAATTTACTGAGTGAAGAAATCCCATGAGGAAAGTGTAAAAAAAGTGAGTATGTTATTTTCACGCAAAAAGAATTTTTTTTTGCTATTTTTAAGGCATTTGTGTGGAAGCCTCATAATTTTAGACACAGATGAGGTGTCTCAACAAGATAAGCCCTAGCAATACAATTTCGAAAAACCAAAGTTTAAAAAGAATTCAACCTTTTTCTTCTGTGGTGTTTCATCCAACATTGCCAAAGTTCTAGCAAATTCTTCATCTTCATGCAGCTGTCTCTCCAGCTGGGAGGAGAGAAAAGAAGTTTTAGAGAAAGAAAGTTTCAGTTCTACTATCTTTTAAAACTCTCCACTGTTCAAGACAAAATATCTAAAATAAGATGGCATATAGTTGGGGCGGGTAGGAGGGAAGGGGCAGGAAGATGGGAATATCCTACCAGCTTACCAGGTACAAATAAATTTCTGAAGGTGGCACTGCAGAATGACTTGTTGCCCCAGAAATGACATAAATAGTGCAAAACTGGAGTTTGAGTTTGTTGCACCAGACGTGTTAACAGGCCCATACAATCTGCTTTTGAAGTTGTTTTCTGTCCCTTCAGATCTTTGTTTCACATAGCAAGGTGAATGCAACACATACAGTTTCAATTGATCTTCAGGTAACCTCTTCTATCAAACATGGCCCTTTGGGGAAAACCTCTCTTCCTTAATTCAGTGAGCATCACTGTAAGTAAATACCGACTGCTCTTCCAACAAAACAACAAAATCATTTCATTACTATCCTAATGTCTAACATGCCACATTGTAAGACTCAAGCAGATGACCTCGTAACAATAATATACCACAAGCACTGTTTTTATGTGCCCATAATGATTAAAAGAATGTCTTCCTTGTTTCCCCTTGATAGGGGAAGGGCACAGATTACCAAACACAAACCAGACTGAGGCAGATACGCACCTGACAATGCACATTCCTCTGATTATATGTCAGATGATTACAGAGTTATAGTTACACAATTGCTGCTTTTGTTGGAATCAACTCAGTTTTCCTAACATATTATTTAACTTTCCAATACAATAAAGCCAGATTTATCACACCTCTGGGGATGTCAAGGATAAGGTCATGTTTTGCACCTAAGATATCTATTTCTAAGGATGCTCAACACTACCAACGGGAAATGAACAGATTTTCCCAGAGTAAAGCCAACACGTGTGACAAGTGTGCCTTTGCCTCAGGGAATAAAACACATACAATTGCAAGGAAGCAGAGAACAAGCTCTGTGTGAAAAACAAGATTTTAGACACCTGCCTGGGTAGAAACAGTCTGCAGAGACAGAAAATAGGTGAAACGTTCTATTTACGTAACTGAAATAATGGCTATAAATCACTGCCTGACTAAGTTTGCATGAATCTGCAAGAGTTCAAGCAAAACAGAGGTGCGTGTGCACATGTAATTTATAGGATCCACGGAGAGTCTATCTTCATTTCTTAACATCTTAAGTTAAACAAACTGCCCCTGGCATACAGCAACAGATTTATACAGCTTTTACCTCTGAATCTTCTTCAAGCTGCAGTTGCCTAGCAATGGCCTCATCATCTAGTGTGCTGTCTGCGCTTTGTGAAGGCTATATGTAAGAAAAAAAACAGATCAACAGTTCAGTTTGCTCAACATTTTATAAAAATTTCATTTTGTGTACTTCTAGAAAAGGACCAGTAAGTAGACACGCAGCATTTTGTCCCTAACCTATACACATTTAACCAGGACTGTTTTCAAGAGGTTTTGCTATTCAAAACAAAACCACGGTGTAACCTGTGTATCGCTTCTTCAAATAGTACTGAACATCTCTAAAGCTACCACAGCTGGTCAGCTTCACAGGGCCAACAACTACACTGTCAATTTTGAACTTCCTCCACACTACACTTGTTGCTTCGTTATTCCATGAATGCATACTCTATAAAGCTCTGGAAAACAACATTATTCCTCTTCCCCCTGCACAAGCTCACCACACCGCACCTTCACCCTTCTCTAAACTATAAGCTACCTCTTTGTTTACTCCTCTCATAAAACTGCTGTAATATTTTAAGAAAAGTTACGTGGGAAAAAGCAATAAAGAAAGCACTGCTTCCAACTTTATGCTCTCTTCTCAAATATAGAAGCACTACTCTACAACTGCATTTGCAGACTTGATATGCTTGTATGTACTGTCAAAATTGCCCTTACACTTGAGTGGTTATGAAAAAGTAACCTTAAGCAGTACAAAAGGAAGAATAGTTTGAAGGCCATTAAGTAAGCCATTTTGTTCTGCATTCTGACACAGAGCAACCTAAAGGAGCACCATCAGTACTTACTTCCTTCCTTTTACTCGCTACCAGTTTCTTTTCTGACCGCTGGACACTTCTTGTCCCAAAGTAATCAAGAGCTGAGGTGGGAGTCAGTTTCACTGGAGATAATGGTTTGGTTTTAGCCTGTGGCTTTACATCTCCTTTTTTCACTGCTGCTGTTCCTGGACAACTGATTGCTGATGTCCCATTCTCCTTAGGTTTCAGGGAAATTCTCTTGTTGACAAAGTCATCCTCCTCATCTAAATATGAAGAATATTATATTACTTCTGACACGTGGTTCTCATAATGTCCAGAGAATTATTTTGGTCAGGTTACATTAACATAGACCCTAAGACAATACTAGGCATGTTTGAAGTTGATTTGGCGCAAAAGAGGGAAAATAAATAGCCACATTCCATAACGTAATATTTAGCATCTAAATAGCATAGCTAAGTCTGACCAAATTGATTGCTAAAATAAAGCTTCAGGTCTTCAACCTGCATAAACACATTCCGTCTTACTTACAAAGGTCTGCAGAGTGTCTTCCCCTCTTACGTAACATAGCACATAAACAGAAATACAGGTCACTGAAATCTGAACTGCCACTCAACTGCACAGCACAACTCTTGAAATAACATACGTAAAATAAATCTAGCTTTGTGTTTCATTTGTTTGTAGTATTAATAGATCATCTAATATATGCTTTGAACACTAGAACACTGTACTTACAAGCACCCGCAGTAGATTCTCACATGTGATTATAGGGCATGAATAATTACTTAGTTATTTGTCAAGTCCTGCTCACACCTTGTGAGTGCTTTTGCAAAACGTGCTGTTAAACTATCTCTGCTTAGTCACACATTCTAGGAGCTATCTTCTATCCTCTGTATTTCTGCAGTTAAACTCACTGTCCTTTCAGTACACCCACAAGCATCTCAAAGAAATGCAGCCGTTTCAGAGAAAGCAGCAATCACACAGGAGTTCAACACACAAAACCAGATTTTTCAATTAATAAAAAAGAATGACACCTCCAAACACAGGAGGCAGAGGAAGCAGTACACACAGTAGCAATAAGTATTAGCCCACAGATCACTGAACAAAAACAAAACTTACTTTTAGCTCTTAGGATTCATAACATCACAGAGTGGCCTGGGTTGGAAGGGACCCCAAGGATCACAAATCTCCAACCCCCTGCCAGAGGCAGGGCCACCAACCTCCCCATGTACTTTGTTTTCTAGCAATGGAAAACAGAAAGAAAGCTTGATGGTCTTCCATTCATTCTGGATCCAAACTCTTCACACAGTCAAATCAATAAAAAAGATCACCAAGGATTTCAAGGAGTTGTGTGTCACCTTGTGAAGCCCTGCTGATAGTTATACAAATCAAACCCTATCACTGAAGCATACAAAAAGCTATGGATACCACTGCCAAACCATCAGATCAATGTAACACCATAGAAGAAAAACATCACTTTTTGATTAGTGATAAAAACACTTTCTTGTGAAATCTTCTAAGAATTCAAAAGGCATAAGAAGCAAACTGCAAGTGAAGCCCCAAACTGAACAAGGCAATACAAAAGGAATAAGGCTCACTGACTGGCAAGAAACAGAGGCAGTCTTATTTGCATGCCCCTAACTGAAGTCTGGTTTTACTTCTCAAGATGTAGATGTTTTGATCACTCACACAGCACATCATGCGCAAAAACGTTCTGAGCTGCTTTATAATTACATTTAAATTCACATTATTATTGCTACCACACATTCATTTTCCAGCCACTAAGTTTTCTTTATCACTTCTAAGTTTAAATTACATTGTATGCTTGCTATCTCTATTTTATACAAACACAAGTTACAGATCTTTGCTTCTGGTTCACTGTTTCTCAACAGATGGAGGCCACCCAACTATTTTAGGCATCAGCTGTGACTTCCTGCTCCTGGTCACTTACCAAGCAGCACATAACATAAATCAACAGGGATCCTGACTATTCCTGTGAAAGTTCAGAGAAAGAAAAATAGAGCAAAGTACTACAAGGGGAGAAACTGGTTCAGCAGTTAAATGAAGAATGCCTGAAGATAAAAAAATTATCTAGCAGAAAATGGAATTTCAGCCAATTCAATTCATGAGGCAATATATGAAAGACAAAACTGAAGCCCAGGTGCCTCTGAAAGCTTCGCTGTTCTCAGCCCAATTACGCATTTTGCTCAGGCAGCTGTAGATCCTTTATTGCCATTTAGCTCACTTTAACTGTTATCTATCTGGGAGAGTCAGACACCAAATGCTTTAGGCTCCTAATCCACAGCAGCATGAGGTCTGGGTATGAGACTGCTCATCTCAACCCAGTTTCAGAATTTTGCTTCTTTTGATATTTCTGGTTTAAATGAGAAAATACATTTGCAGGAGCAAAATGCATTTATTAGTAAAAAAAAAAAAAAAAAAACAAGTGCATGTGAGAGTAATTACATTTACTTGTTCAAGAAGACATTCAGCTGACCAACTACGAACATGTTTTGTATGCTTTTTTTTTTTTTTTTTTTTTTTTTTTTTAAATCTAAAGACTGCTACCAAGCTGGAAAAGAATCTTTATTTGCCACTGCTATCACATAATCTGCACACAAGATTGAATTTTTTTTCCTTATTCACTTGTAACCACTTAAATAGCAATATAAAAAAACCAACAGGATATTGCTTTCCCTCAATTAGAGGGAAGTAGAGTAAATATAATTAACTTTTAATTAAAAAGGATGTGGATTTGAGTCATTTATGATGCCAGTACTAAGCACCACAGATGACCAGAGTTTTGCTTTAATTATGTCCTTCCTAGAAACAACAGAATTGGAAGCATGTGCACAGGGCAAGTGCTCAGCAAGAACAAGAGACAGCACTTCGGGACAGCCACATATAAATGTAAATAGAGAAAGATGGACGAGAACCCTAGAACAGTCATTAGGAAACAAAGCCACTCAGACTGCACTCAGTGGCATCCAACAGATGCTTTATCAGACAGGTGAGCACCTGTCTGGTTTCATCTCGGGTTCAGGAACTTTCCAAAACATCAGAAGCCTACCTCATCTCCAGGCATCCCTCGCTTATTTCCTGCATGTAAGAACTTGAACTTTTTCACTAACACCTTCACACTTCTTCCTTGTGCATGCCTAATGCCACAAAAGTCAACAGCACGGTTGATTAATCAGCTGTACACTTACAGTTCCCTTACAAACAAGAAGGTGACATATTTTACAGCCTTAAAAGTAAGGCTAAGGGAGTTCCAGCACCGCTACCAGACTGCTCAGATCACTGCTTCTCACCGTATGACCAGTTCTGTGCTACCACAATGGGAGGAAGACATTCCCACTCATGGAAACTAGACAACAATTTCTGGAAAAACACAGGGGAAAGTTTTCAATTCAGTTGACAAAATAGGTCAATTGCAGCATTTTCATAGCCCTGTCTTACAGAAATTTCCAGGTGAACAGTCGATATGGTCAGAAGTCCCTGACCCCAACTAAGGCTAAGAAATGGGAATTCATCTTATCACCAAGCAGATGACTTTTACTCTGTAGAACATTTATAGAACAGCACACTACTCTCAGAATAATATTTCCTGTTTATATCCACACATTTTGTGTGTGCTATAAAAGGAATGCACACACTGAACAAATACATCTGAGGTTTAGGTTTTTTCTAGCGTTACCTCTGAAGACTTACAAATGCAAGCTGAGGACACGCATTTTAGTTGAGTTTTCTGGAAATGAAGTAGATGTAACAAAGAGAGAAACTCGTGTGATTAACGGAACAGATGTGCATGACAGCCAGGAGATTGCTTTTAATTATTTTTGATACAAACACTACACATGAAGCAGGGTCCTTCTGCGCCAGGTAATTTACAGGAACAAGCTGCCCTAGCAACAACCAATAACTGTTACATCCTGGACGGGTTTAAAAAACTACTCTGTGACACCTGAACACACCCGACTTCCATTTCATAGTAGCACAATGAGGTTAATCAACTACCTCCTGCAGCCCATTTGCAAGTGCCTGTTAGTGCTTGGTTTTAATACCAACTCCAAACACAAGCAGTGCATCTATACAAGGAGTAAGCAGTATGTAGTAGGAAAAATGTCCTCCCCCAAAGTCACTATACCTTCACTGCTTGTGTAAGATGACAACACCCTGGATATTCTTCAGTTTTAATGGTGCTACATCTGCACAAGGACTTCAGATGCCTCCTGCCCTGAAGAACTTGCAGTAGGCATTACTGCCAAGCTGAAGTTCAGGGTGGATAAAGTAATGCTTGTATTTATTACTTTAAGCATGCATTTACCAGTACTTAACAGTTCCAACACAAGTTAGGACTCTGCATGTTGTATTCAACTTTTGCTTAAAGTAAGTCTTTAAGAAAGCTATGATAACCATCTCTCCTAAAAATGTATTCTCTATCACCCTCATCTAAAATCACAGTAGTTCCAATCCATATATCAAAAAATGGTCTGTGTAGTCATTTAGATTTTCAGTGTCATTTGTCAACAAGCTGATTGATTTCAGGCATACTACAAACATGTACTTTAATCCATAATTGTTAGTGCTCTGCCTATATCCTCATGTCAAGGTTCCATTCTGTTATAAAAATTTAAAAGTCTACCAGAACCATCCAAGTACCATTCTTCTGAAATCAGTTCACGTCTGTTGGGATTTTCCAGTTAGCAGACATAATTTCAAGAAATTGTTATATTTTTCACTAAGGGTTGTGTATCTTTCACAAAAGGGTTCTGGGATGCCAGAATCTCAATGGAATAACTGCCACACCTAATTGGAGTTACACACTTCAGTGCCAAACTACATAACCATTAAAGCTCTTTCATCCAGTAAATTCCAAATGAAACTCTTAGTCAAATATGCACATTTCTGTTTTTACAAATGTCTCTAGTAAGACATTTTGGTGCCATTAAAATAATACGGATCCTGATATATTTTTAGATCTAAAATAAATGATCATCACCATAAATAATCTGCAAACCACTAATTAGAGCAACTCCCTTTAAATTAAATAAGCACAGTGCCATAGAAACTGCTGCACGTATCACCCTGGCATGCAATCAGAAGTTATCAGTCCATTAACACTTTCCAGTTCATTACAGAGAGCTTGATGCACTTGAACTGGTTAGTTTCACCATAAGAGCAGCTTTATTTTCCCAAAGCAGATATGAGTCCCCTCCACGCAATGAAGCTTCTTGTTCTGGTTTACTGTCTGAAGTTACCTGCA